TAGAGAACTTCAGAAAGTATGCAACAGGAAATTTCACGAGTAGATAACCTGATTAAAATGTTTTGGGATCTGCTGACTGTAGAAATGGATTTGATGCATACCGACCACCAAAACCCGATCGCTCCTGATCACGGTGAAATAACTGCTCTCATTACTGCTTTTGGTTTGTTTGAGTTTCTCCGTATGTTTTTGGGTTGCGAAATGCTGCCTACATATTGCAAGTTTTGAAATTATCTGCAGTGATTGTATTTCGGAATTCGGATGTTGGCGTTGATGAGTTCTGCGAGTTGGAAGCGCAGTTCGCAGACTTTTCGGAGCCGAGCTGGTCAACATCATCAATTGCCACCTGGAGGAAGTGATCATTCTACGGGTTGTGACTGGCTGTTCCCGTCCCTTTATTTCTATTTGTCAATAACAACCGTTTGTTGTGATTGGATTTGCTATCCCGTTGTCAACGTTACCATCGTTTTTCTCATGGGTCAACTTGCTTTGCTGGAGCAACCGACCCATGAGACGCATGAGAAAATAAATGGTTATTATGACAACTGAACAGCCAATCCAATCACAACGAACGGTTGTTATTGACCAATAGGAATAAAGGGATGCTAACAGACAATCACAACCCTCAAACAGAACTATATAAACCCAGCCCTTCTGGGGATCGGCGCTTCCTTGAGGTCGCACTGATGATTTTGCCTAGCTCAGCTACGAAATCTCTGCGAACTACACTTCCAGATCGGAAAACTCACCCACATCAATATATCCTAAGGTTTATCGATAGAATTAGGCGAGGCTTAGACTTTGTTCACGTTCATCTCGATGATTTATTAATAGCATCATCCACTGCAGACTAACATTATCATCATTTGGCATCATTATTTCAACGTTTGTCTGATCATCAAATAGTGGTCAATCCTGATAATTGTGAACTTGGTCGACCGGAACTTATTTTCTCTGATCACACGAGAAGGTATCCAGCCGTGCGACAATAAGTTTCGTGCCATAACAGAGTACACCTTACCATCTTCCCTCTAAAACCTAAATTCATTTTTGGGACTGGCTAATTTCTACCGGAGATTCATTTCTCACGCTGCTGAGCTGCTACGACCATTGACGGACCCACTTCGTGGCAATCCGCGCAAGCTCGTACTTACGGATTCCGCACGAGTAGCGTTCCAAGAGGTAAAAGAGTGTATAGCACGTACGCCGCTCCTTATGCATCCCGATCCATTATTCACGCTTAGCACAGCGGTTGATGCCTCTGATTATGCCAACGGAGCGGTCTTGCAGCAACACGGTTCTGTAATGTGGCAGCCTCTCGAGTTTTATTCTTGACCCCTCACTCCAATAGTACTTTTGGTCAGGAACTGCTAGCTGCTTAAAGTGCAGTTAAGCACTTTCAGCATACAGTCAAAGGTAGGAATTTCACCCTTCTCACCGACCATAAGTCTCTAACGTATGCTTCGCACAACAAGCCTGATCGTTATTCTTCACGAGAAACCAGACATTCAGACTATATTTCACAGTTCATGACTGGCCTTCGACATGTGCAGGGCAGGTCGAAATGTGTTGCTGACGCGTTATCACGCATTTGCATCAATGCGATAATGCCCACCGTGCTACAGGTCTCTGCTATGGCTGCAGCACAGGCAGACCTATTGTCAAGAGGTAGCCCGTTCATCCTAGCTGAAATGTCAAGCAGTACCTCTAGCAACGACTTCTGGCACCATCCTCTGCGAAACCTCTACAGGCAGCCCTCACTCAATAGTACCTTCTTCTTATCAGCTTCTCGTGTTCGATACTTTGCATAGGTTTCTCATCCAGGTATCGCAGCCTCATTACACCTAATTGCTGCACGATGCGTCTGGCCGTCCATGAATAAAGATGTTCGTATGTGGGTGAAACAGTGCCTACAATGTCAACAAGCTAATATTCACAGGCATATAGTTTTACCGGTAAACACTTTCGCTACGTCTGACGCTCGATTCTATCATCTGCACATTGAAATTGTGAGACCTTTACCACCGTCACAGGGGTATATGCATATACTTACATGCGTTAACCTGTTCAAAAGATAGCCCAGGACTATTCCCATCTCTACCGTCACGGTCGAAACAGAGGCTCGACAATTTGTAAAAATACGGGTAGCTTTATATGGTTGTCCCTCCACAGCCCCCACGGACAGAGGACAACAGTTTGAGCCCGATCCTTTCTCCTCATTAACGCATATGCTGGGTACGGAATGCATTCGAACCACAACCTACCATCCAGCATCCAATGGTTTAGTCAAGCTTTTTCACCGCAAAATGAAGGCTGCCTAAAGGGCGCGCGAGAACTGTAGTTGGCACAAAACACTATCTCCAGTTCTGCTCTTAATCATTACCTGCATGAAGGCAGACATCCAATGTTCCGCCGCTGAACTTGTCTTTGACACGACATTGCGACTGCCTGGGGAATTCTTTCGCTACGGGGTAGTGTCAACATAGGCTTACCGACATACCCTTCATGCAGACAGACTCCAGGCGCAATTACGAATACAACAGCGGCGGGTGTTTTTGCACCCATTATTACCATCCTGCTCGCACGTATTCGTACAAGTCGATTGGGGTACCTAAACCTTTACAACAGCCTTAAGAATGACCCTTTCCTGTCATTTCATGTCACGATAAGACCTTCAAGGTTGATCAACATGGTCGCGTCGATACAATTAGCAGATATCGTCTTAAAGCAGCATACATTGACGAAAACGTTGTGCACGCTAACACTAAACTTTCTGTTAATCCCTCCCAGCCTCTGGACGAGACACCAGTCTCACATCCAGGCTCGCATTATTCCCCGATGCACCAGCTTTAGATGAAGCATCTGCTTCACGTCTTAGCTGGCAGCCCCCACAACTTGCAGTGATTCCGAATGAGGTTTCATCATCACATTTGAGTCGGCAACCATCACGACCTGCCATGCTTTCTGATGAGGCACTCGCTTCACATTCAGACCGACAGCCGCATGCAAAGGTTGCGACTTCGGACGTGACCCCTGTACCATGTCCAAGTAAACCCGATGCAGTTTTATGTCGGTCATCGAACGAGACTTCCGTCTCATGTTATGGTCGAAGGATGGTTTTGCCGGCACGTTTTTCCAAAGTAGTTAAAATTCGATCGTAAAACATTGCACATTGCACAACAATACCGTTGCATCGATTAATATCACGAGTTCTAATCGATATTTGTTTAGCATTTATATTGATTTTTGGTACTGAAAGTGTACCCATTTGCCTATCTGCGGTTGCTACAGCATGTTTCTCTCTTTTCCTTTTCATATTCACCGAGCCACATACGTGCCCTGGCTATTGCATTCACCATCCAACGTATTCTGCACGAATTCTGGTTCCACATATGCCACCGCCGTCTCAGTATGTTACCTAATTGTGATTCCGGCTACCTCGGTCAACAAGGTATGTACCTTGGTTCGTGCGTAGCACACCAACTTTTCAACTCAGAACTCAATCTTCGCTGGTATTCTGTTCCTATCCCAATCACGGCAACGCATTTGACTCGACATTGAGTACCTTTACCCCACTGTTCCACTGCCCTCGATGCTTCCCCAACCGCGAAAGAGGCTTATCTACTGCGAACGTTCGTGAACTTGATGCACCTCCGCACAGCACTGCCCTTATCTTGCAGTAGCGAAAGTTGTTTCACAATTTCTAGCGGGGGGCTGCTGCAGTGTGTGTAAGGTGAAAACCGGATCATACCAGACTTTTGCCGGACATCAATTTTCCCTCTACAATCTAAATGCATGTTCACATTTTTAATTCAGTTAACGTCATGTGATGTTTGTTTAATACGATCGAAAACTGCTGCATCCTTCCGCGGGAGAACCTTTACTTTTCGCTTTCGATCCGTTTTTGCTCGTTATCGCGCTTGTTGAATCTCGTGCCTTCGTGCGTTAAGGCAAAATCTCGTTAGCCGGTACCGTTGCGTTCTTTGTGCTACGGTACCTCAATCAACGTCTACAGTAACCATAAGTCTTCTGGTTTACCCACCGGTAACTTGCGAGCTCTGGGTCCCGTTCTGAAGTGCGTCACGACCGGTTGTAGTCGACATTTTCTCAGAATCATGCTTTTGTTTAAATTTATTCGGCAGTGGTCTGACATTCTGTAATATAAATCCAAAGATTTATGTTAAAATGTTTTCGTAAACCCGGGCCGGATGAGGTTCAAAAGCTGGTCGCCAGTATTATCACCAGATACAGTCAGTTAATTCACTTGCATTTGAAATGTGTTCAAGTGTAGGTAAATCTGAGCAGACATGGTATAACTTTTATGTAAATGTTTGAACTTGAAAATAAGTAGCACTTTAGAGCTGTGTAGACTTGTCTGGACCTGATCATAAACTGAGAGGCTTCATCTGAGATTCGAGATTTGCGCCGTTTGCATTGAGCTTCTGAAGATGGGTTGCCTTATTTATTGTAAAGGCAAAATGAAAGAAGGTTTGAGAATCTGCTATGTACCGGGCTCAAAACTAAGTTAGATCGATGGATTTCGAATACCGGTGAGACAAAACCAGGTCATTTTCATATGTACGAAGGCTTGCTACTTTAGAGTATCAAGGACGGATTAGCCAATTCGATTGTTAAGGGGCACCAGGCACTCTTGATTGTCTTGGGTGTGGGTTTCACTCCTTAGAAGATCGTTAATTCCCCACAGTTCTATGCATTCACGTACGATAGAAATGTTTGTGACAACCAACAAAGAGCACTGGACAGCTGTTTCGTCCTGTTTGGGACTCATTAGTAGTGCGAACTCAGGGGTAGGGGTTTGCAATCCCAACCTGAATGTTCACATTTCGAGTCCTGAGAGGGACACAAAATGGACGCAATGCCGACAATTCCCAAACAGGACGAAACAGCTACCCAGTGCTCTTTGTTGGTTATCACAAATATTCCTATCGCATGTTTGTATTTAGTTTAATTAGGAATTAAATGAATTTATCTGGAACGGCTTACAGGTGGCCGTTTGTTCGGTTTAATAGTCTCTTATTTGGCTGTGTTGATCATATATAGGTAAACATATATTGTGCGGTAATACAGTTAGCCTACAGTCAAGATCACCAACAATGCCTTAGAATACCCCAAAGAAAATACCATCTAATGAAACTTTGTTAAACGAAAATAACGGAAATTTAAGGTGTTATCTGTGTTCAGCGTGCAAACATGGTAACATGTATCCACTGTTTTAGTGTTAAATTCAATAAATAAAGAAGAGATATGTTGCACGCTTGTTCTAACCCACTGGATGTAAAATTAAGTCAATATAGGGAAAATAAATTAGACCATTGAGAAGTTATTAGCTGTTATTTCCAAATGACTTAACCGTAAAATAATTGTGACTTGAAAATAAATGTATTGCTTAAGACCGTGAACGAGTACCGAGTTATTGTTTAATTGTATTTACGAACAGTGAAACTTGCGAGAAATTAACGTGATATCAAACTTCTCAAAAATCACCACCGAATCAAGGATCGAATGACTGTTTAACCGAATGATTTTCGAATCATTGTTGTTGATCGTAGTTGCCGGGCATAACTTGAGTAATTAAACATACCCAACTACATAGCACAAGAGGTGAACTACACTTATTGGTCACTCATGACCTTTCAAACACTGGAAATCATCGAAGTAACTGTTATGGCAATCTCGGTGTCTTTCATCATTTATCCAATGGCCCAAGACTTCTCTTGCAATTCAAAGCCAAATATTGATTAAATCCATGTAAGCATTTCAATTGTCATAACCCGGCTGATGAAAAATAATCCTGACTTTCAGGAAACCATTCACAGAATATTTCGAAATATCTCCGTATCCATGAATGCACTCAGGTCTCGAGTTCTTATCTGAGTTGCCAACAGAAATAATCGTACAGAACTACTCTATCCAGATCCATCTGTCCGCAAACACCTAAATTACATCTAGTATGTCTTTGAGTGGACTCCTGGTGTGTACAAGGATGTAAGCATATGAAATGTCTTCCGTCTACTGGATTGATTTTCTTGGGCAATATTCATTTTTATAGAGAGTCCTCGCAACCTCTTTTTATTGTGCGAAGTGCACCACAGGCGCACAAATCAAATGAAACGATATTGACTGTTATTGAAAGCGAGAAGTCCTATGCTCAGTCTGAAAACAGAAATTTATCTTATGTACACATCTTTGATTCAAGTAGCATCGAAAAACGTAATTTTACAACGAATTATAGTAACCGTCCATTAACTTGTCTCTTGGCTCAGCTTTCCATGAAGTAACATGCTCAATTAATTTAATGTGGTGTATATTTAAGTGATTAGTGATTTTCTCAACAATCGATGTTTTGAAATTCGTCAATTAACTTATTTGTATATTTTCCCCTAACATATATTTCATGCTAAAATTCCACGGGCATTCCTATATGAATCTGTTATTTTTCATTACAAATGGTCACAAGTTCAATGCGGGCTACTTCACACTTACAGGGAATTTCTTTGTCTAATTATATTTCATATAACTCATTCTGCGGCACTATTCCATATTCACGAAAGAGACGAAACTCATCGATGTGTGCTGAAACAAGCGACAACATCACTTGCTGTGATGCTGATTGTCCCCGCGAAAAAGTAATTCGTATGACTCTTCGACTATCCGAATTCAGGCAAGTGTAGTTGTGAACAGAAGACATTTAGACACTTATTTGGGTGCTCTACCCTGGGTGAAAACGTTGATTATTCATATAACTCTCGTTCAGCACTTTCCCGCCTTTTCGTTCTGAGACCGTATAAATGAGTCATTAGAACGCATATTTACCTGAAATACAAACTTTCAAGCCTGTACAAGTTCCGCAACTATTACTGTTAACACATATTTCACTAAGAGAAAAGCAATCCCTGCTGACGGCTCGGAGCAGCATGCAGTATTGAACGAAGGAGATTCAAACATTGGATAGTATAAGTGTTCCCGTCCTGTGCCCAGAATGCATGCTGCGTGGTTAACTTCTACGAGTGTATAAACCTGCAATTGCATGAGAAAGAACTTCCAGTCTATTTGAATAAAAAAATAAATCTGATGATAACATATACGTCTTTATGTTTTGTAACTATCCACGGTTGTTAAAGATTGGGCTCACTGCAGCGGTCGTTTGAGAGTTATCTGAATTATCGCGGACTATCGACCAAAAGGATCTAGAGAAAGTAACGTGGGTTCTCGTAACGACTCACTTAAATTTAAATAAACTACACAGTGTTCAGTATCCCGCATAATATTTCGAGGATGTCACACGTCTGTTGTCTACCAATACAGCTGTCACTAACTATTATTTTCAGAAGGTTTTCTCATCCTCATTCCGATTTGCTTGAACAAGATTTATCTATAATCAATAAGCCTCCATTAAGTAGTTAATTTTCGCTTGTCGGAAACTTCAAGCAACGCAACATATTAATAACGTTGACATAATGCGCAGTATCGTGGACGCAAACCATTTCTGGTTTGCGTTATTCAGTGCTCCAAATCGTTCCATTGATAGACCTGCTCAAATTATTGAAAATACGTCTGAAAAAAATACGAAGTTACGCCACATTGTTATCATCCTCTTGACTCAGAGTGACTGCAATCACAAGAGTGACGCATATGTTGAAAGAGAGGCGGAGTATTTATGGTTCCAAACCTTAGACTAAATTCGATCCATCGAACATATCTACACGCACCAGAAGAGTTTGAACTTCAGATCAAAATCACAAAACCTGTACAATTCATCTCACAACTCTCTACTGAGCGCTTATCTCCGATACCTGGCTATTTTGTTCCATCTGGATCTATCACGTTTTCTCAAGAGCAACATGATTAAATGTGTTTCAAAACAAAAGCATATTGCAACAGATGTTTGCAAATGGCGCTTTCAAACTCAGAACACATGAAATAGTTTTGCTACTGTCGATTTACCGTAAACTCAACTGTACAGAAATCCATTTTCAAATTATGTGGTTCTGGAACTAAATCGTTTCTTTTCCTCGGTCTCTATTTTGAAGAATTGCGATTTGTACGCTGTTAAAAGTTAGGATAAAGAAACAGAGATG